AGAGGTTGATCTTTGTTTCTGGAGATGATGATGTCTGCAACATTTAGAGGAAGGTAGCGTGCAGGTTAGCTAGCTTTGAAAGTTCAGTATTTTGATACTGTTTTGTCCCACTCTTTAAGGCAAAAATAAGAAGAGAAGGTGCTAGATGCAGGGAAGTAAGGTATGCCTACACTAGAGTTGCAGTTTTGACCGAAGCAGGTAGAGATGTACCTAAATTAGTTTTAGATTAATTACTATGCTACATGGATGGGAGCTTTAACTTCCCTGTTTAACAATCACAGATGAGCTTCTGCAGCTTAAATGTCCATGTCTTGATGGGCGATGCCCTAATACCATTTGTAGTGTCATGAATCTAAATAAGGTTGATGCCAAGTGGTAGCAGTTACTGGGGGGTGAAATTACTGTGTCCTTTGTAGTATTTGTCTTTGTCCTATTCAGTAGCACCGAGCCCTGCCCCTGCCTGGCCCTTCTCTGCCCCTGTAAAGAGAGAACTGTCCCATGAATCGACCTAGCCAGGTTGGTGGGTCCTGGGAGAAGAGGAGGTGAAGGAAGCCTGAAGAGGTCTGCTCTCAGCTTGTGCTATGCCTTCACCTATGGGGTGAGCTTTTCTAGGAATGAGAAGATCAGATGAATTTGGGAGCAGGTACGCTATGGTGATCAGGGAACAGAGACACACCTGCTCCCACTTCTTGCTACCAAAACCTCACCATCTAGCAAAGTCACTGTCTACTGGATCAGAAGTGCTATGCTTATGGGGACAATCTGTGTCCTAGAATAAGTAGGATGAGGTAGAAGCTGGGTCTAGGCAGGCAGACTTGTGCCCAGGGAGAGTAAGGATCAGTCTTCCAGCACCGCTTCATGCTTGTGTCCTGTACCAGGGGATGAAGTTCCCAAAATACAGGTCCCACACTGCTAGCACAGTCATCCACACGGGGCAGTTGGTGTTCAATGAAGGGAGAGAGAGAGGTGGTGTCATCCATAGTCCTACAGCCCTCTCAGTCCCCATTTTCAAAAGGTTTTATAATACCACGATGCTGTTTTGCTGTTGACAGAATGAAATGTTGTTATCGCAGTGACTGCCATGATATTACTGCTGTCATGCTCTGTAAGATAAAACTAGCCCAGATCTGTGTGGACATGCTGCAAACATGCCTCTGGCCTGCAGCATAGACATAGCTTCAGGACCTGGATCTTCTCTCTGTGCAGGCACACGGTGTGCTGAAGTTTCTAGGACATATCCTATGTCCAGTTGGAAGAGCATCTGTATGATCATAGCCAAGATGGTAAACAAAAATTCCCCAAACAGCACCTCTTCATATTCCATGTGATTGTTTTAACCGAACACAGCCCAAGATGTGTGCTGTGCTAAATCTATTCTGTTATGAAATAAAGCTATTAACTTGTTATTTTTCTTTTGTTAATAAATGGTAAGTCTTATTGTGGAATAATAAGCATTACAGCTGGATAAAGTCTTTCTTGCTAAAACATATAACTACAGTGGTGCAAACTCTCACAGTGCTTGCTTTTCAAATGTTTGCAATTTCATATACAGCAGCTGCTTATCTGACAGGGAAATTAAGGTTGATAACAACATTTTCCATTTCACTCTGAAAACTTCCTGATTCTGCTGTAACCATTATTTCTGTCATGTTTCTATTCGGGGTCAAGTAGAAATGTGGCAACTGGGAAAAAGTTGTAAGTGTTATGTTTTGCCGTACGAGCAATTAAATCAAGTCTATCCCTAGAAAGACTGAAGGTGCAAAAATTTGAAAGAAAAGAAATGGAAGGTAAGTCAGTAGGCCTTCACACATGCTCAGTGTCCTCACTCAGCCTAAGCCTTTGCTATCCCTGCCATTTTTGAGATTTGGACAAACTGTTTCGTGGAACAGTAGTAACAGTAATATCTTTTATTATCTCTGTGATGAGCAACCTTTATCTTTGCTGTTAAAAAACTTAGGTTAAATTAAAGCAAAAATCAAGACAGTTTTATTTTTTTTCCTGGAGAAAGTCAAAGTTGTTTAGCACAGCTGCTGTGACTGTGTGTTTAAGGCTGTGGTTGTATATTCTATGATAATGTAACAGACTCACAGATGACAGGCACGTATCAGGCCTTTGTTGTTTCAAAGCTGTCTCTGGGGCTTTTGATCATTATGTGCCGCTACATCACAAGTTGCAATGCAAGAATATTAACGTATCTTCTTCATTTTCAACGTGAAAGGGTGCATTAGTGTCATCTTCCCTGCCAGGTTGGTCTGATGCATGAATCTCGTCTCTAATCTGACTCATGCCCACATACGTAAATTGCTCACTGGAATGAAATGGTATTTGGGTTAGGTGGCTGAGCAGAGCGGCTGGGAGGAGGTTAAAAGCTTGAGCACTGCTGACACTCGAGTTGGTGGTGCAGAAGGAATACAGCACTCGGGTTACAGCAGCTCATCAATTGCTAACCCTTTGGATTTGCTGGTTCAGTCATTCTGCAACAGCAAAATGTTACTTAGTGATCTGATTGCTCTGAGCTTGCTCTCGCTAGGGATCTGTCTGTTGTAGTCAAACTGCAGGGTAGGATGCCTTGTGTTAGCTTTAAACCAGTTACTGA